CGTCGTCCGGGGAAGGCACCTGCGCTGTCTGCGGGGATAATGCCGCCTGCCAGCACTACGGGGTACGGACGTGCGAGGGCTGCAAGGGCTTTTTCAAGGTGAGAGCTCTGAGGTTTGCTCCCCTCCCCACTTCCCTCTGCCTCCCCTCCCTCACTACCTGACTCGGTACACTCCTGGTCCTGGTCTGGGGGCTCGGGGGTGTTGTGTTACAGCTCAGAGCCCCCCAGCAGGGCGTGATGGACACCCACCCAAAGCTTTTGAAGGAGGCCAAAGCAAGCCCTCCATAGGATAAAAGGATCAGCCAGTCTTGGCTGAGAAAGGGCAGTGGCAGTGAGCTGGGCAAGCCACATCTCTGGTCTGCCAGCATCCCTCGATGGAGCATGGGTCACGCCTGTTTGAGCTATAAATTGCATTTATTCCATAGCAAAATGCCCCTAGAATACATCTGGCTTGGATTTTACTCAGTCACTCATTCCAATTAAACCTGTTTTTTAACTGAGGAAGGAAATCTAGAAAACGTAGAAGTCCATGTGATATTTTAGTTGATGGCAGCGGTGCCCTTTGTTGTTCTGGGGCGGTCGGGTTGAGGAAGGCCATAGGGGCCGTGCCAGGAGGAGACTGGTTTCACGTGTGGGATAAACCCAAGCACTTCTAGTTTTGTTTGGTTGCTGTATCGTTGTTACTCTTCAGCTCAGGAGCCCAGTGAGTCCTCCCCAGTGGCAAGCAGGGCAGTGACTAAGCACTGCACAGGGTCCCGGTGCCTGCTCTGTAGTGGAGAAGGCTTTGCAGCCGAATGGCACCATGAGTAGCTTACACACAGCAGTTTCTCAGTGGAAACTTTGTACTTATATTCTTAAAAATTGAGTACTCTCTTTTTGCTCTTAGATTTGGGGGCTTCGTAATTTCTTTTCAACAGACTGAGTACATATTCCAGTTTTATTGTCAGAATTCACTTGCTCAAGTGAAGAACTCGGGACAGACTTTTGTTGGGATGGTTCTGGGCAGCAAGTTTAAGATTTTATACTTTTGGGGTTAATTTGGTATATTGCTCCCTGCAAAAATAGCAGTCATGCCCCTGTTCTAGTAAAAGATATGATGGGAACAAAAATAGTCCAAAAATAGTTGGGTGAAGGGCTTACCACATTTTTTTTTAAAATTGCAGACGGAGCTGCTAATGTTACTTACTAATAATCCTTTGACAACAGGGTAAAATACATATCTCCTATAAAACTAATTTGTTATTTAAATATAATTAGAAAGGGAAACACAAATAACCTGGAAATAGCAGCTCTTCTGGGCCCAATCCTGCCCCTGTGGCAATCAATAGCGTATTCTTGACTGGGAGCAGTATCTAGAGCTTATTCTACAAAATTAAAGTTTTCAGCTTGCAAGCGCAACAAACAATATTTGCTGTGTCTCTTCTATTTAGTATGTTGAGGCTGTTATTTGAGAAGGAACACAGATTATGAAATAACGTTTTTCCATTAATTTAATTGCAGTGAAAGATTTAACATTGAATGTTGATCTGATAAATTTGTTCCTGTTCTGATGTCTTTCCTGTTAATGTGGGGGGTTTTGTGCTGAGTTATTTATTTATGTACCTTTGATTTTAAGTGTGGAAACACATAATACATGAATGCATTTTTGCATGAATATTTGCTACATTCTGCTAAGGCTTAATAGGTTTTTACAGATTTTAAATTTATAGTGTAGTTTTAAGATCATTTTAGAGTTAATTAAATGTATATAACTGCAGTATAATTCAGTCTTTTTTTTTTCCCAGGTCAGGTTAGCTTTCCCAGAATATTTAACTACATGTATCTTGTAGGGGTTTCTGGTATTTTTATTTTTCTCCCTGATGATTTTAATGGCTAACCAAACCAGTTATTGTGGTATTTGACTAACAATAGCGATAGCAAGAGAAGTACATCGCAGATCATTTTGATTTTATTTTAATAAGGTCAGCAATAATCAAGGGAATGAACCAAGTAGAAAATTGTTCCCAAAGGGATATTAAAAGCGGAGATAATCTAATCCCCAAAGGTAGATGCGATGACCTGGTAATTTCAGATATGATTTTATCATTCAAAGTTGCCTGTCTCCAGAGACTTGCTTCAGAACAACCCTAGATGATTTTCATTGTCAGCAGCTAACACTAATAAAATTGTTTTTCCTGCAGGCTAGTGTGTTAGGAAATTAATTTTATCTAATTATATGAATTGCACTGTCGCTTTTCATGTTGTAATTAAAACACATTTTGTCAGGTTCTCAGTTGTTCAAGAAACACTCATTTTACTATTTTTTGTGTCGCATTTTCGCAGAGAACTGTTCAGAAAAATGCAAAATATGTTTGTCTGGCAAATAAAAACTGTCCAGTGGACAAGAGACGTCGTAACAGATGCCAATACTGCCGGTTTCAGAAGTGTCTCAGTGTCGGCATGGTTAAAGAAGGTAAGGACTATTGCTATTATTATCCCAGACATTGAAATATTACGTTTGATGAATCTCTGTGTGTGTGTTGACATGGATGCCTTTACAATGAATTTTACAGTGACGAGATTCTTATCTTACCTCAAAATATGTCCATTTGTGTAATAATGTATTGATTTTCTTCTTTTTACCCATATTATCAAATTTAGTCTTTAGACACCAGAGTTCAAGAACAGCAAGGTCACAAGAGGATAATTTGACACTGGCCAGAATGTCTCCTTTATTAATTTTGAACGTTGCTCAATGGTGCTGTTGGCTTCCCCCTTTTATCTCACTGGGGGCTGGACTAGATTGTGTGCATTTTGACATAGGATCTTGCCTCATTCCCATAAGCTGATTGTAAATTTGCAATTAATTTAAATGTAAACAAGATCAACTCATTAGTCCCAATTCTACAAATATTTAAGTATGTGAGTAATACTGTGTGAGCAGTCCCATTGCAAACACTAACACAGATAATATAACCTACATAACGTGACCGTATTTTTTTGAATGCTTCAAGGAAGCTGAAATTACTTTGAATGAACAACCCTGACATTTGGAAGGTGCACCAGTAGTAGAAACATGAGAATTTGTGTTTCACATTCAGTTTTCTTTCAGCAGTAGAGTGTCTCTCTGTGTGTGTTCCTGGGTACACATACATGGGTGCATAGATATGCTGCAAACAAAGCATGAACACTAGGAACTTAAAGCTGGGCTTTAAATAATGGTATCGTTTGTGTTCCTTTGCAATCAAAGGCAGCAAGAGCCTGTGCTAAAACTGGAGAATGCTCTTATTTTTGCTGGGCTGGCCACCATAAGCAAAGCAGGTATTAATTCTGATCCATTGTTTGCTGGTATCTTCACAACTGATTCCCTCTTTTTTTTTTTTTTTTAATGTAGTTGTCCGTACTGACAGCCTGAAAGGGAGAAGAGGTCGGCTGCCTTCCAAACCAAAGAGCCCCTTACAGCAAGAACCCTCTCAGCCCTCCCCGCCTTCTCCTCCCATCAGCATGATGAACGCCCTCGTCCGAGCTTTAACCGACTCCACACCCAGGGAGCTTGACTATTCAAGAGTATGTCTTACTTTTCTTTGCCTGTTTGTTTTCCACATAGAAATTATTTGCTAACTGCATTTCTACTTACCAGCTGGTTTGCTAAAATGAAATTAAATGTGAAATTTGGATGAGGGTAGAAATTTGCCCAGCCAGCCATGTCTTTACATGGTAGGTGGATGATGAGGGGAAAGGAGGTGCAGTAGAAATTAGTGTTGGTAGCTATTCCTTGTGAGGATCTCAATCACAAAGTTATCTGCAGTATATTCTATGGGTGAGTGAAAGCAAAAATGAGTGGATAAACAGAGCATTCTTCTTGCAAAAGGCTGTGCCAAAATTCTAGAAATTACAATGTGGTGGATTAATCTACCAAACTCAGCAGCAGTACTCATATGTCCAGTATCTTAAATCTAATAGCACTTCCCTAATACTCAGATATAAGAGTTGTGCAAAGTCACACTGGATGGATGGGGCCATTTCTATTGAAATCAATAGGAATTTTGCCATTATTTAAATGGGACCAGGGTCTGGCTTTGGATACCACAGCATGAATATTTCTTCAGTAAAATTCATGTTTGTAAAACAAACCTTTTAAAATCAAAATTCTAAAAAACTATCTCAGCAAAGCCTTACCAGAGATTCTATATCTTTGTAGTCTTGCTCTTTAATGTATGGTTTCACCATTTAAATATTAATGGAATATTCTGAAAGCTTAAAAAGCTGTTCTATAGTTATTAAAATACAGCATTGGAATGGCTTGTTAAATACATTTTTAGGCAAGATGATATAGGAAAAGAAAAAAATACAGCTAAGGAAAAACAAGATCAAATTCCTTCCCTTAATTAAATATGGTTAAATCTGAGACTGTAAAAAATACAGCTGTACTCAGAGAACATCTACATTGGCCATTTATCCCTTGTTGCTAAGTAATATTTGATACTAAAACATGTTTGATTGTGATTATTTAAAAATTACATTATTCTATTTTAGACTATACTTATATATATCATGTAGCAATTTTAAGCATGCTGTAACATCTTTTTTGCAAGCTAATCTGTAAGTATACAATCATATAATTTTCCAAATTATTATTAAGAATATAGCTGTTCAGTATCTGGCAGCCTTTTCGGGCAAGAATGCATTAGCCATATTTACATGTATTTTAACTTACCCAGAATGTCTCAGGGGGTCGTTCTGCAAAGACTGAGGTGTGTGACGAGCTGTGCTCTTTGAGAGAGATTTGCTGGGTTCCACAGAATTACAGCCCAGTATAATAGCCCAGGCCATGAAAGCAGTATCTAACCTTAAGTATTTATTTATTTATAGATATAAAGTTCTTTTGCATTTACAAAAAAAAAAAAAAAAAAAAAAAAGGAATGAAAACTGTGTATTTTTATGTTACTTTTTTCTTTGTCCTGCAGTAATTATTTCTCTTTTAATGAAAACAGCCCATAGATCTAATTGTTGAACAATTCTGTTGGACGTTACAGGAAGCACATGATTGGCAGCAAACTAATTTAGTCTTGGTAGCTAAAAGATTAAGTAAAATTGCCTGTTAAGACTTATTAATATCTAAGGTTTTCTTTACAATGAAATATATAATTGTCTGTTATGCTCAGCAGTACTGAAAAGACAAAAATATGGTAAAAGAATTAATAGATTCTTACATTTTTCATAAACCTTATACTTATTTTGAAAAATAAGTTAAGGGAGATCAGAAACAAATGCTGTGTAAAAACTGAGATTAACTAAATTAAATACTCCATAAACATACTGCGATGATAAAAAATCCCTTTGAAGAATAATTCTGTACCCGTAAAGACTAACTTATGGCACGTTCGGTCAGGCTGTGACCCTGCTGAGAACCACAAATGGGTAGATCTGGAAACCTGGCTTTGGAGTCAGTTCTAACACTTCTGCAGACACGACCTTAATGTTTAGGATGGTCTTCATGTTTACAAGCCGTAATGTCTTCACCGTCTTCAAAATACTGTTAGGAGTTTCAGAGAGGAACATGTATCCCTTCCCTCCAAAAGCACCTACACACACAAAACCAAAACTCCCCCAAAAAAACCAAAACAAAAAATAAATTACATAAACCATGAGTTTTAAACCAAACAGATTGGAACTGGTTCTGTTAGAATATGGCTACTTTTCATTTCAGCACTGGTTTTAACTTACCAGTCCACAGCAATGGTATATTTAGGTACTTGGTTTCAAAAAGCAATTACCAGGAAGAGAATTTGGTTTATGAACTCCTTAAAGGCCAAGGGCCACAGTCTGGTCTCACACCTGTTTTACTGGTACAATTCCATGAGTTTACACTTCTCAGTAAGCGAGATGAGAAACAGACCCTATATCTTGCCGTCCTTATTCATCTAGAGCAGCCACCAACTTAAACAGAAATGTTGCCTTTTTGGAGGGATATTGCAGCATCTTCCCCTCCTTCCCCAGACACAAAATTAAGCAAATATTGTAGTTTTTGGAAAAACAGGCTTACCTTCTCCTCTGTGCAGAGAAGTTATTGTTAGGCTTTTGCAGCTGTAGCAGTTGATGAAGATCTGTTGAAAGCAGGCAAAGGGTAGAGCTAGGTTTGGCTGTCAGGCTTTCACAATCTCTTTAGATACACCATACAAGTTAATGTTGCTTGCTACACGTGCATTCCCCTCTTTGAATAACAGTCTGGTTTCATTTAATTCCCGAAGGAGCTCTGAGCAAGGGAGCAAGGCAGAAAGGCAGAGGTTTGTCTTCTGGCTTTCTCCTGGCGTGCCTCCAGTTTGCATAGGGCAGGTTAAGAAATGCAGATTGGAGCCCTTCTGTACCGTGGCCTCCGAACCAAGGGCAGGCTTACAGCTGTCTTGGTCAGAAGTTAGGTCAAATATCACCTCTTCTCAACAAAATTATCATGGAAAAACCCACAGATTTTGGTGCGTAAAACAGAACCATACATATTGTTTATGGTTACTTGTATACTTATAAGACTGTTACAAGTAAATAATATTTTATTGTAGCTATGCTTTGTAAGTGCTAACTCTTTGTAACGAGCAGTGACATATTACAGCAGCTAAAAATTAAACAACACCTTTCTTCTAAAATTGCTCTCACGGGATAAACTGTAATAACAAATGTTTTCTAATTTTTTTAGATGCATTTAATTTACTTAAGTGTCCCATGTGGGGTATACTGTACTGTAGCATTCAGTTATGTGACATAATGCAGCTTTCAGCTTCATTAGAAAATGTTAAAACTTTGCCTTACTTTTGCCAAAGGAATATTTTATGAATATTGAGAACAAATTAATACCTGGCATAATTATGCTGACTTGTGATGAGTTATATTTAGAATGAACTTAGGGTAGTATCTTTTTTCTTTTCCCTTCCTTTTCCTTCCTCTTCACTGCTCAAAGGATCAAGAATGTGTCTTGCCTTAACAGTACCTATGGTGAAGCAGGAGTTTCTATCAGTTTGTTTGGTTTGGTTTCCTTGTGTAGAAAGGAGGAGTCATTGGTCAGCCCCTGCACAGCAAAGCACATGTCCCAGAGCCAAGACACCCACTGTCTTGGCTGGCTCCACCGCTTCATTTTAAGAGGGTCCAGAATGTGCAAGGTCTCTGAAAAAGCATATAATCTTTTTTTACCCACGAATCACTCCGGTGCATCTTGCTGCAGTCCAGTGCCAGGAGTAGTTAGTTCATGCTGCTTGAGCATCCTCAACTGCTCTGTTCAGATGGGGGACTGAACACGTAAATGATGCAGCATACAGATTTTTCTACCACTGCTCCCCATCCTCTCTGTATTTTGACCTCTATCTACTTCACTGTCTCAGGATTCTTTAGAGTAGCTGTGGCAGAATTTGTCTCCACATGAACTTTATAACAGGGATTGCACGTTTCACCAGCTGACTAGGGATGCGAGCTGGAACTTACCATGAGAAACTCATGCAGTTAGTGTTGGGTAAGCAGAACAGAGTCCTTGAGTCATTCAGGGCTAGCACTGATATCCCAGATATGGCCGGAGGTCTCTAGGATTGCTGTGGTTCTCCAGTCAATCAGCGACTCTGTGTCTTTCATTCCTTACTTACCAACAGCTACTGGCTCCAACTAGGAGAGGCAGAGAGCGGGACACCTACCGGAGAAGTTCTGATTGCTGCCCCCCTCTCTCTTTCCTGCACAGAGGTGACTTTTGGGTTGCAGTTAGCAACTTGGGTGATATCTGCAGCCTAAGTGGCATGCTTGTAATAAGGTCTTCCCAGGCTGCCAGCCCACTGTTACTGGTTGGGAAAGAGAGGTGGGTCTTTCTGCTTCCACTCTGGCTTGGGGAGTTGCTAGGGAGGCTTTTAGGTTGATGGACTCAAGATTTATCTTAACTGCATGTAGGAAGTTGTTTCCAAAGGGCATGCACACTTCTTTCAGCCATGGACACCACCCCAACTTTTCCTTGGTTAAGTACCAGAGAGAGAGTGGGTACGAAGTCTCCCCCAGAAATAACCCCCTGGATGTCTGATGGCAAGGATGTTGCTACAATAAATCCCAAATAATTCCTCCTGCTCGGAAAACCAGCAGCATTTTTCCAAGCACAGAATTGGACTAAGCCACGAAAGCTGCTGTTGTATTTTCTGCCAAGAGAGAAAGCAGTGTCGCAGGAGTGACAGGGATCCACGGGTGAGGTAGTAGGAGATATCGGGGAGGGAGCTGTCAGAGGGTCACAGGGAAGCTGAGCAAGCTGAGCCTGTCGAATGGTTTTCTGAAAGAGTTATGGCCACATCAGCAGGATAATAGGTTCTCCTGAACCTTAAATGCTTCAATTTGAAGGGTAAGAGGTAATATGGGGCAGATGTTTTATTTTGAACCAATTCTGTATTCAAATGAAGTGATGCTGCACGTGTCAGATAAAAGATGATTTATCTTATGTGTCTCTATCACTGTCAGATAAAATGCAGTTTGAAAGGTTTTGGAAGAAATCTATGTTTTGGACATACTGAGACAAATTCATCAATGGGAAAAAGTGTTTAGTTGTAGTAATTTAAATAGTATTCCTCTTTTAGTGTGATACAAATTGTCCTACCCACCAGGTTTTTGTTTCTGTTTACTAATGGCACATAGGTACTTGTAAAATGTGATGGGTTTTTTTTTTTTTTTTTTTTTTGGTACGTTTTAAAGGATTTCTATACATGTGGAAATATTCTGCAATATACATCTGAATAGCAAGACACCTGTAGGTAGCTAAATAGGTAGACAGGAGTAGTCCTACTTATTATGCCTTTGATAATATTACCTGCTTTGCCACAGAATGTTGTCGGGCAAGTAGTGATGTATGTTTCACAGAATGCCCTTAAATGCATATAACGTTGTTTTCTGTGGCTTTCATTTTAGTACTGTTCCACTGATCAGGCTGCTGCAGGCACAGATGCAGAACATGTACAACAGTTCTATAATCTTCTGACTGCCTCCATTGACATAACTAGAGGCTGGGCAGAAAAAATCCCAGGATTCACTGACCTCCCAAAAGAAGATCAGACATTACTCATTGAATCAGCTTTTTTGGAGCTGTTTGTACTAAGACTCTCCATCAGGTAACTATTTATTTAATTTCCTCTTAAGCTGATGTGAAAAATCATCCATCTAAATATTTTTAAGGAATAAATATGGCGATATCTTTGAACATTGCCAATAGTACCAAAAACCCCACAAAACATCAGCTAAGTCTGAATCAACAGGATATGGTGCTTAATTTGTTTTACACTGCAGAAAAAATGTGAAAGTGATTTAAAAAGAGATCATAGGTCTCGCTAATGTGCTTATTTTTATTTGATATACCCCATCCTCTTCCATGGTAATCAAAATTGATCCTTGGGTACCATTTGAGTAAGTTTGCTTCATACTCATCAGCATAAACTATAGAAAAGCACCTTCAGTATGAAAGCTTTTTTCCTTTTCCCCCTTCCTTTGTGCATGCACATCTTTGTCGTCTATTTTTGAACGAGATGAAGAAGCTTTACAATCTTTTTCAGATTGTTTTTCTTCTTAATACCAAGTCATTTAATAGAGCAAGATGCTGTTTGTCCGTCTGGCACTGATTAAGACACTTCACCAGAAACACTCTCAGGGACTGGGAAAATCCCAAACTGGTGATTTGAATTATGCCCTTGTTTCTCTAGGTTGAAAATGACCTTTGCATGTGTTTTTTAACAGGGATATTGGCGATGGGGAGGGAAAGGAGAGGAGATCTTGGCTGTAATATCTCTTAGACACAGGTTTTCATATAAAAGAGTTTGATTATGTGTATTGTGTGCATTATTGCATGTATTTTCCTTGATTTTTCCTGATCAATTTTTACAATCTGAAAAATGCAGACGAGACTAAGTAAATGTTGAGAGCTGCAGAATGTCTTCTTTCTCCAGTTTTTATTAGTTTTGTATTTCAAAATGCACTCACTTAGTATTCCTTTGGTTCAAACATACAGTATTTAATGTAAAATGTCTTCTCTGTTTATGCCTTTGGGCAGGACCAAAATCTTAACTAATTAGACAGTCTACACCACATGCTACAGCTAACCTCAGGCTTATAACTCTACCAAGTAAGCAATCACAGAAGCTTGTTTGTTGTACTTTGGCCCCAAGGGAGAAGCATATTGTCAAACGTGAATGCCCACATATGTCTCAGCATAATATGCCTTGGATTTTAAATGACAGACACTTCAATACTGGTTATGCATTTTGCTGTAAAGTGGAAGATGCATTTATAATTTTTTCAATTATTTTTATTTGAGGTCTGATACTGCTGAGGATAAGTTTGTATTCTGCAATGGACTCGTGCTTCATAGACTTCAGTGCCTTCGCGGATTTGGGGAGTGGCTCGACTCTATTAAGGACTTTTCTTTAAACTTAAAGAGCCTTAACCTTGATATCCCAGCCTTAGCAAGTTTATCAGCTCTAACTATGATTACAGGTAAGTGCTCCTTTGTTAATGGAAAGCTTCAGACTCTAGTGCTTTGCTTTAATGTAGATTCAAGCAATTTCAGTTAACTTAGTTATATTCAGCTTAAAGTGAGTATGATTTGTAAGTGTTGGAATGACCATACTGAAATTGTGGCCTAACATTAGGCTGTCACATCGCCCTATGAAAATGTAATCTACCTCTATTTCTTCACGGTTTCATTGTTTTCTCAGAATAGCCTCTAAAAAAGCAGTCTGCTTCCAAGCAAATTGTGTAGATCCTGCAAAAATGTTGGAAACACTTGCTGAATTCCCAGAGAGGCCTAATGAAATGACCAGAGCTAGGTCTTCTGTGTAGGAATACTAATATCAAGGCAGCTTGAGAGCTAGAAGCTGTACAGCTAGTACAGTTCATCTCTCAGCGAGATAGCTAGACCAGAAGGAGTGTTTCATGAGGGCAGGCAGGCTGCTTCTGATAGCCAGCCTACTCTAGGTATTCCATGTACTGGGTTTTTTTTGAGAGAGAAAATTGGAGAATAATAAGAAAAAGAAATCCTCTTCTGCAGTTGTATGAAAGTTTTTGGGAGTGCATGGTGACTGTATCACCCCTTCTGCCTGCTGGGGTGAACAGCAGGAAACTAATGTCAGAATCTGCCCAATTTGGCCAGTAAGTACAAAATGTGGGAGCATAAACTTATAAAGTGTATTTCTCTAATTCCTGAAGATAGAAAGCCCCTTGAATACACATGCATACCTTGGGCTTCTTGCGATTGAAGAGGCATGGTTGATGGAAGCAGGAAGGGCTGGGAGCAAGAGTGTCTGGCAACCATAGTGCAGCAGTCAGAGCAGCAGTCATCCTACAGAGCACCTCACACTTGTGTCAGAAAAGCTGGTACTATAAAGGTGCAACGGTGTTGTCAGTGTGAGAGAGGGCTTCAGTGTGCCGTAAGCTGGGTCTTCCCAGGGATGCTATAAGCTCTGCTGACATGGATATTGGTTTCCTCCTGGATTTCAGGCATCCACCAGTTTGCAGGCAGTGGCCTCAACAATATCCGCTGCAGTCTTCATTTCACCTAGGTTGAAATGATGTGAGGGTAACACTGAGATAACACATTCAATGGCAAAGGTAAAAACTAAAACTGGCCAATTCTCATTGTCATTTGTGGGGCCAAGATTTTGTCTTTAGATGTTGCATAGCATGCTTCCTTCCTGCATTTTGGTGAAGGGATAGTGTATACGTGTAACTCTTTGTTTCTTAAGAAAAGTATTTTCAATTTTTTGATTGATTTTTGTTCAATTCTTCTGCAGTTAGAAAGGGTACTTCGAGGTCCAGATTCTAGTTTCTTTGGTAAAACGCTTAAGTCCAGAATAACTAATTGGAGTTGCTTTGTTCTGTATGAAAAATTTTCAAAATGAGTGTTACGTTGATTTGAGAAAGAACATTCCCAACTTTTTTTTCCTCCTGTATACAAACGTCCACTGACATGTGTTCATGTATACTTACATATACGTATTATAAATACATATATATATGTATATGTGTATATGGTGTATATATGTATGTGCATGCATTTAGATATCTATAAATCAAGGACAGATGCTGTCTCCCTCCATATATATTTACATATAGGCATATATGCTCACATATATATAGCATATGTCATTGATTTAGATTATTTACTATGTATTAGATATGTCTTTTTTTAGATAGATACAGATAGCTTGTTCTTGATTGTCTTCCTGGAGACTGAGAAGATGCAGGTCCATGAACAGGATCCCCAGCAAGCTGTCTAAGTGACTATCAGAGAAGCTATTGTATAGGAGGAAAAGTTATTCTCCTTACAAACCCATGCCCCATTTTAACATGATAATGCTTTGTTCAGTTAGACACTGTTTGTTTGCCCTTACATAAAGAGTCAAACCTGTCCAGTGGTTGGCTCAGGTCCCCCTAAGACATTTAATAGAAATAGATTTTAATTGATAATGCCCCACATTTCTTCCTTTCCTTGATAACAACCCTTTCAGGAGTTGGCTGTATTATGGTGGTCTTCCCACATTTTCTAAACAAATGGAAGTAACTGTTGCCTTTAAAAGGAGAGCATTACTGTCCATAAAATGTTTACGGTTTTCTGCATTTGTCAATCTTTTCTTGATTTTCCCACCTGTATGAGACGGTGCTTAAAATTAATGTAGTTTTCTGCTTATTCTTTTCTTTCATGAGGCCAGTATATCTCTGCTGATTTGCTCTTAAGGACAGAGTATACTTTCATGCAATCTAAATTAGACCAAAGATCCTGTGTCTAGTGATTTGTATTGACAGCTTTCAGATCTCCAAGGGCAGCTAGCCAGCTTAGGGACTCAGCCAGAAATGTGGTCACCTGAAAATGGATGGTATTGTATAATAATGAAGGATATTAAAAACTGAAGGAGGAAATCAGGTAATTATGGCTAAAAGAGCACTACAGCACAAAATGCTGCTGGGCAGGGTTCTTTTGAGACCTTCTCAGTGATAGTATATTGAAATTTTGTATTCAGGAAAGCCTTGACATTTTCCTCTGGTATTGCATCCCATGAGAAATAGCTTCTTGCCTTCTCCATACAGTTTGAGTACGACAAGCCATGTGCTGGTTTTCAGCTAGTCCCACCAAAAGAGAAAAAGTAATCGAGATAAATTTTGGAAATCTGAAATCTATTGTACTTTTTTAAGCATTGTTTTGAGGCTTGGCTTAGATTTAGGTGGGTGTTTTAGGTGCCATTCTTTATCTCTGGAGAAGGTACTTTTCTCTTCTGTAAGGGACTGTTGGAGGTAATGGGCAGTCAGTAAACCCTGGTTCAAGCCCTTTTTGTGAGTCACAGCAAGAGAGAGTGACCTTTTCCAGGAACTTAGGATATCCGACTATTGAGTATCGCTGTCTTTTGTGTTGAGGCCATTCGACATATTTCACAGGCTGCAGAATGGCTGTTGTGTATGACGATCTGGGGACAAGCTGGTGCTCAGAGGGACACCCAAGGCCCAGTCTCTGGTCTGATTCCAACAGGAAGGGAACCTGACTGTGAATCTCCCATATCTCAGATGGATATCCTTGTCATTGGGCTGCAAGATAGGAAGGAGCAGGAAAGTTCTGTTTTGTGAATTTAGCTGTTTGTTTTCATTATCAAAACTGCAAAACTAAAATACTGTCTTGAGAAAAAATTTCTTCATTATTACACAAATTGCTCCAGTTCTTATTTTGCATTAGTCAATTTTTCATGACTTGATGGTTCAACTAAGAAAAGAAAAAGACAGCAAACCAGTGATGTGTTACAGTCATAGTTTGTTTTAAAACTGTACAGCATCTTTGGTAGCACCAAATTCAAGAATTGTCTCTCCAGGTAAAGAAAAATGCTCCTGGGAATAACAACCTGTTTGTTCTGCTTGATTTCATGACTGCTCTCTATAGCCCAAACAAATATATGCACTTAGAAAACAAACCCTCTTGAATACTAGTCATTGGCAGTATTGGTGAAGGAGAAAAGTAGGAGAAGTCACTGCTCTCTCTTGTACATTCTCTTTCACTCTCTGTTCTGCAAGGCTGACAGGGAGAACTAACATCTCTCTCCCAGTGAAGAAAGAGGGAATAAATGTAAAAAATCAGTGTGGGAGGCTAAAAGACTTGGCACTCTTCCCACTGTCCCAAGATACTGAAGGCTGTTCTCTCATTTTGGGATGTCAAACTGTCTCCCCAGGAAGAGCCCCAGTAGTTCCAGTGCCCTTTAACCCTGCTGACTTGTTTAGATCTGCAAAGCTCCATGTCCTATCTCAATCACAGCTGCAGTTCACAGCATAGGATGCATGGTTATAGGTATATATGAGCACTCATTCCCTTCAGTAATTTTGAAGAGAGTGACAGAAGACCTAGTGAGTATCACAGTACTTGCTAATTCACTGCTTGCCTTGAGTAAAACTAGAGGCAAACTCAACATAAAACAAACAGGAAAATATTTTTTAATATTTTGCATTGTATAGTCCACTGTGAAGTTCCATATATTTGTGCTTTTTCTGTTTATGTTTTCTGGGAATTTGCACTATGTTGCCTAGAAGGAAAAGCATCATGTTGGAGTGCTGCTGAATTTTCAAGTAATTTCAGACAGGACATGAGCTTGAAAGAGCACCCAGAATGAAAGAAGGGACATCTGCTTTATTGTGGGTGGCTTGCAAACAGTTAACTTAAAACTCTGCAATGCCAAAACACTTTTTTTTTTTTTCTCTAAGGTACTCCTTTAGGATCTTCCTCTCTCTGTCTCTCTTCTCCTTTTTTACTTCCTTCAGGTGGTTAAGAACACAACTTCCTCCAGAGCGTATCAGTGGTGCTCTGAGCATCAGCCAGAAGAAAGTAGTTAGGGAACACCACAAGACACTCACCCCACATCCCCATGAAAGCAAGAAATTAGTTCTGTCCTGTTCTTTTTCTTTGGATCACTTATTCTGTTGGGATGTAGGATCTAATGAGCTAAAGAGGAGTGCCAACATGGAAAGAAAATGCTGGTCATCTGCAGACAGGCTCTGTCCTTCATTCCACATGGATGATTTCTATTAGTTTAGTATGTTGCATGGATCACAAGTGTTCCTGCACAACCACTCCATGCTGGACTGGGCAGTGTTGATGATGAAGCTTTGCAGAGTAGACCAGATACTAGCTCAGCCTATTCTTGAAAATACTTCCTTAACTTCCTAAATGACCATTTGTAGTGCTCTGTTTTACAGTTTTTCTAACAGCGTGAAAATATAAAGACTGAGAATCCACTACAGATGATCTCAGGGGCAAACTCTAATTTAGCTTCAAATTTCTGCCTGTTCTAAAACTGCTAGTGTTTTTTGTCTCTCTCTTGTTGATTCACTTTTCCTCTCTGCCTCTTCCTTTCTCTATCCACATCAAAATATTATTGTTTTGCCCACTTGACACTCTCAGTGGGGGGCTGCCAAGTACAGAGCATTCTAGCCCTCATTCAGCCAAACTCTTTCGGCATATGTTTTATTTTAAGTGTGTTACAAACCAGCCCAGAACCACTGTATATATTGGGCTTATTTACACTCTTAATGCTTTGTTAGACTGGCACCAGAACATTGAAGAATATTGTGAGGTTTCAATTAATTATGAGTTTGTTTTTGCCTTCCTGCTGTTGGGCTTTCTGTTCCAGTTTACAAACACAATTTTTAGCACCGTCAGTCATACCAAGAAATAGTAATGAGTCCAGTCTGGCTAAAAAGGGTCTGGCTGCTGCAGTTCCCTTCTGAACTTGAATTTGTCCAACTTCTCTACAGAAGGGAGGCTCACCTACTCTTCAGCAGCTGATATCCTTCAGTCCTGTTGCCAGGATCCTCTGGAGTGGGTGCTTCATGTGCTGGGTCTACATACGAACGGGTGGCAGACTGGAGGAGTGTAGGAGAGCCAGTTTAAAAAAAAAAAAAACAAACCCTCCAGATTGCATTGTCTGCCTTCCCCTCGCCACTTTGTCGAGGGAAATACTTTCAGCATCAAAGTGAAGTACTCACTCCTCCTTCTCCCCTCCCACCCTTTTGCTGAGGCAAGAACTCTTTCCTCCTATAGCAACCAGTGTCTTCTGTGCTACATTGTGGTTTTCTTAAAGGAGGGAGGAAACTGTGATGTCCTGTGGGGTCATTCAACTCTGGCTTTAGGTACCTTGCAGAGCCAGTGAAGAAATACAGGGCACCTCCAGGAGATGATTCATCCACCTAAAATCTGAATCATCTTCTAAAAATGCCCACTGATGTTAGGAGGAGCTCAATAAGTCTGTGCTCTTAGCTTAAGGTTAGGCAGGAGTAATCTGGGCCAGAAAAGGGGAGTCTTGGATCTGCCGAGTTGCAGTCTTGCTGTGTAATAGAGTGTGCACAAGACAAGCAGAAAGCTGTAGGTGACTGAGCCTCATGTTTATTTGAGTTATAGGTGGGGAAGAGGATTGTGAAGGTGGAAGAGAAAATCAGATAACTACATTGAAACCGACACAATCAAGGGGTCCGTTTTGAGTCTGCAGTGTAAATCTGTTGTGTTTCTGATTGGACTGACACCTCAGAATGAATTAAGGCTAAAACTGACCCACCCTGACACACAGTACAGAGCCCAAGGGTCTTGGAGGTACTCCAGGTCTTTAAAATACTCACGCTTTTTTGAGAGGTGTTTTACATGAAGGTAGCACTCAGTCTACCTAGAATGATCTACCCTGTGTCAGAGATTAGGGAGAGCACAGCTGGTGATGGGTTTTCCTGCTCTTTTGCTCTCTTCCTGTGAAGTTTTTGCTGATTAGAATAAGTATAGCACAAAATTAGATAGGTGTAAAAAACTTTCTGCATTCAGTTTGCCAGGATGAACTGCTAAGTTTGCAGAGCTTTAGAGGCAAGACTTCCGATTAATCATTTTGACAGGCTTATGGGGAGCATCTTTGCCATAAATCACCATTTTTCTTGCAAAAATCAATGGCATCCTAAAATACAAGGCTGAGAAATCCTATATTCACTTTACCCGGTGCCTTTTTAATTGTCATTATAAGAAAGTCTGAATACAATAATATTTACACACCTCCTCAAATCAGTTAGAGAAAATCTATTGATTTTGACTAGCTGTCCTTCTTGAGATAAATCTTGGCCTTATCATTCCCGTGTGGATAAGAACATCCTGTGGAAGACGGTGAATGATTAGAGGCCTCTGGCTTGAGCGCCAGTGCATACACTTACCCCAGGTGATTCGTGCTGCTCCCTTTAGGTTGAGTAAGAAAGACTGTGGGTATTTCTTTGTGCAAATGGGACTGACTGTGTGGAAAAGGCAAGAAAATGTGCTTCCTGCTATTTGAACCCTGTTAAATGTAAATCTTTGAGTAACTTACACCCCAGACTCCTCAATTCTATGGAAGAGAAAAGCTGTTTCTTGTATGAGTACGTTCTCCAGAAACTAGCTGGGTACTAACAGCAGAGACTGTGATGGCAGTGCCAGGGCAAGCAGTGCCCTTTAGTAGCAGAAGGGCTTCCACATAGATGGCTTTGACTTTCTACGGGTCCAAAAGGGATGCCTTAGGGATTGGAGACTAAAAACCCCCGAGGCAGCTCCAGTCTTGAGGAATTCCTTTTGTAGAGATTTTCAAGTAGCAAGGCATGGCAATTCACGCAGGAGAGGACAGCCTGATTTATTGGAGACTGCTTTAATATTGTAGCACCAGAGAGCGGCTTAAGGGAGAAGTGTCTCTTAAATCTGAAATTTTGTTATTTAAAGTAAGGCTACTAATCTTACAGTCTTTGCACATATTGTATTTTGCATTGGTATGTTTCATGGCTAGCCACCAAAGACGTGATTTGATCATGAAACCTTCTGAACTTGTCAGTGTGAGAAAAGACTGTTTAGTTCTGGCTGGAAATGTTAACAACATTGCTATGTGCTCCAGAGCCAGAGATAATTTTCCATACTCTGCAGCAAGGTATGCACCTACTGAGGCATTGGTTTAAAAATGTGCTCTGCTAATTTTAGTCAGGTTTTGGATCCATTCTAGTATTTCACCTCTCTAGATCCATAAAGAAATCTTCACTTACACAGCCGGGAAACAACCTCAAAACAGATTAAAAGATGGGAACTCTTCAAAGACTGCAAGATTAATTTAATGTCCTGCAGATTCTCTCAGTAGGCTAGTCATAAAAAAAACACAACACCCTACAGCTTTTCAAATCTGTGTAAAATATTTATCTGCCAAGATTTTTAATGGCAGAATCTGCCTAAGTATTTACTCTCAGTGACCTGTATAGTTAAGGTTTACATAATTACACCATACACCACTTACTGGAAAGGCTTTAAATATTCATTGACTCTTCATGTTTTAATGTAAACAAGGCACTTAGAATGCCTAGGGTTTTTTAATTCCTGCAAGGTGGAAAAGATGTCTGAAGCAGATGTTACTGCTTGAATGGGTGTTGCTCTGAAGCAACAGGGCAGATTGATGGTGCTTAAATGATAGAGCACAGTAGCTTCTGGCTGGAGATGCACACGTCCACACATCTCCAATTCTGATCCCAAACTAGTTCTTCAGGAGCTAGTCATGCCTAAGTAAATAAAGCTGAAAAAAAGTGTAAAATGGGTGAATATCAGTGGAAAATCAGACCTTTACATTTCTGACTGCCTTCATTGAACCCCATCTGTTTTATTGGTTTGTCAAGAACATCTAGCCAAAACAGGCACTAAGGGGAGGGAGCACCTGCTTCTGGAAGTAAAGAAAACTGTACTCTTTTCACTGTTCATTAGTGGACAGGCGGAGAAAATATCTGTTGCCTGCTCCTCCTGGAGTACAGGAACAAGAGTTGGGGGCAATGGGCACAATATGGCAAGTGGCAGCCAGGGGTGGGGGAAAGGGCCAGGGAAGGAAATGACTTCAAATGCCTTAAACACAAGAACTACCATAATTACTCCTCGTCAGCTGCTGTCACTGTTTTTATATGTCTTTTTGGTTAAAATTAACTGAAACTGCATTTTGTTAGAATATCTTATCTGGTATTATTCTACTTCATGTGTAAATGATTATGGCTTTGCTATTAAGCAAGTTCACACTTACCTGTGAATTTCAGTTGAAGGCGACTCTAAACATCACAAAATTATTTGTTTTGAAATGTCATATAAAATTATCCACAAAGTTTTGATAGCAAATGGTAAAAAATTGTCTTTCCCCATGTACCAGTAAAGAGCCTGCTTTTAATCAATCACAAATCTGATTTGTTCTACTTATGCTTAAAGATCTGTGGATGCGTTTAACATGTTTGTAGCATTTTAAAAGGCTATTCAAAGGGGGACAAACCCCAGCTCCCCTTCATTTTAGGAATGCTGAGATTTTGGTGATGGGTAACACAGCTGCCTTCTCAGTTTAGGCATTGATCACTCAAAACAAAATAGTTAACTTCCAGGCTTCTTTTATCTTAGATGTTTAAAGGTGAATAAACGAGAAAGCAGCAGCTGATCAAAATAACAAAGGGTGGTAAGGTGCCTTTAGTTTTTTATAAGAGTGTCTGCAAATTCCTGGTGGAATTTGAGGCCCGGCACTGATGGAGCTGGCTAAGTATATCGATTGCCACTTGAATTCACTGAATAAATAATGGTTGCCATAGTTATTGAGCATTCACAACTGGTGGGGAAGCACGAAAATCTCCAAAACACATCCTGTGATAGTTTTGCTAGAAAATCACCCAATTAATTCTGTCTCATATCCTGAAAATTATGTGAGATGCAGAGGATGCTTGGACTCCTTGTACTAGAATTTCAGTCATAATTGAGCATCTCTGCCCCCTATTTTATCAGCTAAAGAGAAAAGGGCATTTGCCTTCTCTTATTTTGTGTGGCAGAAAGGTTAACTGACATCGTACAACCCCAACTGTTCTGAGAATCTTACACTTCCAAAGCACTTTTTAACTTTGAGTACCAGAGTATGGATTTGGTTTACACTGAAGAAAATGAGTTCTCTCAGTTTGTGGTAGGGATGCTGATGTGGTTTTTTTCCCTCTCACTTTGCAGAACGACATGGATTAAAAGAACCAAAGAAAGTGGAAGAGCTATGCAACAAGATCACAAGCAGTTTGAAAGATCACTTAACTTTCAGTTGCCAAAACAAAGGACAACCACTTGAGTCTGCAGAGCCGAAGGTACTGGGTGTTCTGGCTGACTTGCGTTCTCTCTGCACGCTAGGACTGCAGCGCATCTTTTACCTGAAACTGGAAGATTTGGTGCCAGCCCCTTCCATTATCGACAGGCTGTTTCTGGACACCTTACCCTTCTGAGTCAAACCACCCTCCTGAAAGGCAAATGCTCACTAGAGCAGGCAAACGGATCATGACTTACAGCTAACATTTCTGCCCTCACTTAACAGAAAAGCAGCTCCGAGTCTAAAATGAGGTCTTTTCTGGCGCTTTGTCCTTACAACCTGAGGCCTGAAACTTACTGGCTTACTGGTTTGGGGTTGTGTTCTTTGTTTTCTTTTGTGTGATTTGGGTTTTTTAAATGGCTAATATGGCACTTTTGGACAATGCTATCCCAGCAGAAGTAAAAGGTTAACCTGACTGTTTTAAATCTGTTGTTTAACACCTCATGGTATATGAGGAATAAAATTGTAGAAGCTGTGTTTGAAAACAAGAACAGCAAATAGTTGTTTGCCAGGGTAGTATGTGTTTTGTGAAGACACCTTTAGCATACTTCCTGCATCAAGGGCACATACATCAGCACAATCTAAACAAAAATTCACTTTTTTAGCAAAGTACATTCAATTGAACATTTCATACAAATCAAATATAGCAAAATGACAATGGCTGTTAGCTCCCATGTTCAAGTGCAATTTTTTAAAGTGCTGTCTTACTAAGTCTCGTTTATTAACTAATTTATTTTACTATGAAAACAAACGGAAGAAATCAAGTGAGAAAATTACCTGCACTAACTTACCTGACAGAGTTTTCCAAACTTGATTCCATGTAGCGCGACTTACTGACAAATGTATGTGGAAGACACGGGAGCAATTGTGGCTCAGTTGTTCCTTAGCTAAGGAAATCCGAGTAAGTAGTGACTGGAGCATACAGGGTCAGCATCAGGGATAGTTCAGTTTTAGACTTCTAACATAAGCAACTAGTTAGTAAACAGACAGAAGATGGTTTTTCAAGAACAAGCAAGTCTTGTAAAATAGTATGAATGTAAGTGCTAGGAAGGATATAGTGGGCTGCGTTTAAACATTCCGTGTTCGTACTCCTTTTTGTATGTTTATACTGTTGATGCCATATTAATATGAAATAATTTGTTGCATTGTGTCTTTATTTGTATAGATGTTTGTATGCATGGTATATTGTAATGGCTTTGCCTGTATTTATTGCAATGACTGCCAGCTCATGGGAGCCCTGTTACACAGTAACTAAATGGGGTGTTCACACTGACTCAGATACACCAGTTGGAAAACTATATACATATATATAAAGTGTGTATATATATATGTATATACCTATATTTGTGTGCGTGTGTGTGCGTGCGCGCGTGTCTTTTTATTAACCATTTGTATATAAAATATCTGTCAAATCACAAGCAGAGTTATTTTACAGTTTATTTGCAGTGACTTCTAAGGCAGTACTGTTTAGCACTTTGATATTAAAATCTTGCTCATGTTTTGCTAAATTCAAATAATATTTTAAAAGTTTAGTTCTAAAAAACTTTATATGCACTGTATTAAGTCAAAATTTTGTTGGTCATTTTGCTAAGGAAATTTTTGAATGTCAACCTGATGTCACTGTATCTTTTGTTAGCTTTAAACATTCTAGCTTTTGTCTTTTTTTAAACTATGCTGTTTATATGGAAATTAAATTATACAATCAAACAGATGCCAAATGAATTGCCTAATTGCTGCAAAGGATAACCCAGATATCGAGTCACTGTATGGTTTTCAAATAGTAATCTGGTATTTTATCACTTACTATGTTTGGATGTGCTTTTATGAAAAAATTATTCTTATATCAAGATTTATAGTAGTGTCAATAGGGAAACAGACTTCTAATCACTATAGTTAATATTTCTGGTTTACCTGCAGATAATATTTGGAAAAGTATTGCTTTTTGTATTGACTTTTAAGCTTATGTGCAAACATAATAGCATAATTAAATATCAGAGAAGCTAATGTTTCTTGTAGGTTGCTGTAACAAGCCTGACCAGCAAGACAAATATATTTTGATTGAATTTGCTTTTGTATATACTAAATATATATATATACGTATATATATACACTAACACACATGTGCGCATACAAAAACATACAGACACAGAATCCAAAAGTATGTTTACTTTTGTCTCCTTGTGTAAGACACAAGGTCCCTTGAGAAATGACTTTTTATCTAGGGACAAATCCTGCCAGGTGCTGAGCACCAGCCAGATGAGGGCTTGCAGGCACTTCATGCAAGCAGGCCCTTTTAAGAATTTTCAGGCAAATCAGCATAGTACAGTAAAATTGTTTTTTTGTTGAGCGAGGTTTATTTATTAAGTGGAATGTGAGTGGGAGGCAGCAGGTCCAGAGCCCCATGTGAGATTTCCCTTAGCTGGTGTCCTCCAGTCTTCCATAGATAGTCTTAACTGTGATACTCTCCCAAATCCCATCATCTGTGGAATTGTCCTTCATGTCAGCTTCAATACACAGATTCATCCTAGAGTACAACCAGTGAGAGGCCACAGTGGTAAAAGGAAGAGTTAACGATGAATAAATCTACTACTTTCCTTAGAGCTCTCTCAGTGTGAACGTGCCTTTGTCTAGGCAGAATTCAGGAATATATCAGGTGTTAAGGGAGAGTGCCTTGCTTTTATTTCAAACAACAGTGTTTCAAGAGTTTCTTCACTCTGCTAACCACAGCAGTTTTTTCTTTTTCTTTTTTTCTTTTTTTTTTTTTTTTTTTTTTTTGTGGTGTTAACCTGTGGGTTGAAAGAAATGCTCTTGTACATATACAATGTAAATTAAAATTATTAAATTGAATAACATTTTTTCAGAGGCCCCATGTATGTTGAATAAGTATGCTTAATTCTGTTAAAATCTGATGTGAATTTTTTATCATTTATAAAACATTAAAAAAATTGTCTACTTGAGTCTTTAAAGTGGAAAAATTGGTGAAGCATTCTTAAGAACACTGTCAATTTAATGGCTAGTCTCGGATTAAAATAACTTTTATATAAATACATATACAATAAGAACTGCAGTATCTGGCTACTCAATCTCAATTAGATATTGAGAGCTGGAGCATGGTTGTCCCAGAACTTGACCTACATATGGACCAGAGCAGAGAGACTACCTGCCCCTCACTGTACTTCTCCTCCATGCCAGGAAGGGATTGTAAATAATTCACGAATGATGACAGCCACAAGGTAGGGAGGGGATGGGTATAGGGCTCGTGGTCCCATATGGCACCTATGGCCGTCTAGAAAGAGGACAGAGTTCTGACCCCATCTACTGCCTCTTTGTGTCAGTAAATCCTGATAAGACATCACTCCAGCTGGCAACCACAGCATTTTCTTTAAATGTGCATCCAGTTCCTTTCCTTACTGTGCCTTTGCTTTGTAGGAGGGATCGCTTATCCCCTGCTAGAGAAAATTGTTTGGCTACAAATGCATTTTCCACAAATGCAGTTTTGAGAAGCATCTGCCACTATTCTGGGTATTGCCATAAGTACCAATGGCTCCGGCACACCTCCGCAGGAGCTGTTCTTCTGCTGGAACTGCTCGGCTGGAGGTTACATCAAGCAGTGGGCTCTTGCGGGCTCTAGGATTGGCTGCTCCTTCTTTGGAAATGTGACAAAACAAAAGGTTGCTCAAACTCTTCCAAATTATTTGTTGCTTTTTTCCTATGCCTTATTTGTAAAAATAAACTAGAAATATTAAAATCCTTAATGAGAATGGCAATGTGTTTTGCATACTACTCCCTTGTTAGGCAAAACACGCAGATCTTGTGACCAGCCCACACCAGGGTCTGAATTTTCACTCTACAAGAAAAAGCTTATCCTCACTAAATTCACAAGTATCTGAATTTGTAATTGCTTCAGAGGCCATAAGCTGTGTCCTTAGACACGGGAACAGAACTGTGTCCTGATCTAGGTCACCTGCATTTGTGTCTTGATAGGTGCCTTACGTGCACTCCTAGCCCATATCAGTGGCAGAGTCCTTGCAAAGGATGTGATGCCCCATGACTGACTCTGGCACTGGAAGGTTGGGCTGAGTCAGGAATATGGTAGAGGGTTCATCTAGCAGAGACCATCCTTGGATGGGAGGCTGGCACCAAGGCACCCCAAAATGAGTAACTTTAACTAGAGGCGGGTCAAATATCTTTGCACAGCTTTCCTACCTTGACTCTTCACATTCAAGTTCATTTCTCCAATATACAAAGCTGAAATTTCAGTTATGTTGCAGAGAGGAGGGGGAGAGAGAGAGAGGTTTAACTGTATAAAATTAAGCATGGCTCTGAGAAGAACTGGCAACTCCCTCTCTGGATGCTATGAAACATATCTTTTGATTAATTATTTGTATTATAGCAACACCTAGAGGCCACAACAGAGAGCAGGACCCCATTAGGCTAGCTGTCCTAATTAGCACCTCCAGCACCCACCCGGGAGAAGCTCCAGTCCAAACAGACAAAAAGAAAGAAGACCAACACAGGAAAAAAGGAGTAGAGTGCCATGCCCAAGGGCATACAGCATTTCAGTCACAGAATTAGGAATAAAAACTTTTGTTTACTGAGCGAGTGTCCAGTGAATGCTCTTATTTTGTTTTCCTTTTCTTTCCCTGGGCAATTTATGCTGCCACTGTATCAAATTTTATGCAAACACGATAAAAGCATTGACAAATAAAAAATAACCCATGTATTCAAACTGATATTGTTTACCCTATGTATATAGGTCATCCATGAGACTATTCCAAATCCTGGTCAATCACATGTTTGGAACTAAGCTGTGATACAAACTAGACAGTATTTAGAAAAGAGATACTTAGCTGTTCTTTATTAAATTAATGAAACCAACCATTAGAAATATTTCAATATATGGATTAAACAATAATTATTAATGGATAAAAAAGATTAACTTTAAAAAATGACAGACTATTGATGCAGTAATTGAATAAATGGGGAGTCAACTAATCAAATTCTTAGCAGTGGATGACATACTTGAGAACTGTATTCCAGACCTACATTTATGAGAATTACCAATACACTGATTTGTCCAATAGAAAAAAAAGAAACCTGTTTACCATTGGGAAACATTTTTTGCTATTTTTCTTCTATCTTCTTTTTTAACATTAGACACCTTTACATTTATATTCATAATACAGTCTGTCTGTGTTTGTTTACAGAAGAAGTTTGAATACATGAAGTTGTGACATGGCTGTGGAAGTCAGATGAGATCAAGACTCTGACCTAAACTCACAAAAGCAAGGATTTTCTTTAAAGAGAACTGTGGGAGTCCACCTGTAATTAGATATTATGTATATTGCAAGACGCTTATGTGTGTATAATGGAACTACTTTAATGTCATACAAGATTCTGAAGTCATGCAAAAGACAAGACAATGGAAAAAAAAAGTGCCATTTTTCCCCATTGTTTAATATTTTCACAGAATCATAGAATAATTTAGGTTGGAATAGACCTTTAAGATCATTGAGTCCAACAGTAAAACTAGCAATGCCAAGTCTACCACTACACCATATTGCTAAGCACCACATCTACACATCTTTTAAATACCCCCAGGGATGGTCACTCAACCATTTCCCTGGGCAGCCTGTTCCAGCTCTTGATAACCCTTTCAGAGGATAAATTTTTCCTAATATCCAATCTAAACCTCGCCTGGTGCAACTTGAGGCCATTTCCTCTCGTCCTATCACTTCTTACTTGGGAGAAGAGTCTGACACCCACCCCACTTCAACCTCCTTTTAGGTAGTTGTAGAGAGTGATAAGGTCTCCTTTCAGCCTCCTTTTCTCCAGACTAAACAATCCCAGTTCTTGGAGCTGCTCCTGATAAGACTTGTGCTCTGGACCCTTCAGCAGCTTCATTGCCCTTCTCTGGACTCGCTCCAGCACCTCAATGTCTTTCTTGTGGTGAGGGGCCCAAAACTGAACACAGGATTCAAGGTGCGGCCTCACCAGTGCCGAGTACGGGGGCACAATCACTTCCCTAGTCCTGCTGGCCACACTATTTCTGATGCAGGCCAGGATGCTGTTGGGCACCTGGGCACACTGCTGGCTCATGTTCATATTCAGCTTTTGACCAACACCCCCGGGTCCTTTTCCACCAGGCAGCTTCCCAGCCACTTCCCTGAGCCTGTAGCATTGCATGGGGCTGTTGTGACCCAAGTGCAGGACCTGGCACTCAGCCTTGTTGAACCTCGTACAGTTGGCCTCAGCCCGTCGATCCAGCCTGTCCACATCACTCTGAACAGCCTTTCTACCCTCAAGCAGATCAACACTCCTGCCCAGCTTGCTGTCATCTGCAAATGTACTGAGGGTGCACTCGATTCCCTCATCCAGATTATTGATAAAGATACTAAACAGAGCTGGCCCCAGTACTGAGCCCTGGGAACACTTGTGACTGGCTGCCAACTTGATTTAACTCCGTTCACCACAACTCTTCAGGCCCAGCCATCCAGCCAGTTTTTTACCCAGTGAAGAGTACACCTGTCGAAGCCATGAGCAGCCAGTTTCTCCAGGAGAATTCTGTGGGCAACAGTGTCAATGGCTTTACTAAAGCCTAGATAGACAACATCCACAGCCTTTCCCTCATCCGCTAAGCAAGTCACCTTGTCAGAGTAGCAGATCAGGTCAGTCAATCAGGACCTGCCTTTCATAAACCCATGCTGGCTGGGCCTGATCACCTGGTTGTCCTGTACATGCCATGTGGTGGCACTCAAGATGATCTGCTTCATTTTAGATTGTTTATAATTTTTTCTTAAAATAATAGAGACCTCTGGGCTTGTTTAGGTGGACTTTTATCCCACATAAATAAATAAATAAATAAACAAGCTAAATTACATTTAAAGAAATGAATGTTTTTAAATAGATAAAGTATCTCAAAGTCTTTAACCTGCTGAGTAATGTATTTGAAAACTCCCTCTACAGTAACTTCCACCATAGCCTGTGATCAAGCACTACTGTAGAACGACAGTGAATTACAGAGATGGTTTGACACTGGGGGAAATTTCAAACATAGCAGAGA